CTTAAAAATGGTAAATAAAAAAAGATTTAATATAAATATTCATTAAAATGCAATTATCAGAATTCGTAAATTTAATTCTTGAAAAAAAAAAAAAAAAAAAAAATCAACTTGATTTGTTTTTAAACATCAGTTTCATGTAAAAATTTCTTTTTTTAAAAAAAAAAATTTTTTGAACACAGGAAAATAGAAGATATCCTTTACAGCAACAATTTTCAATGATTGTTCGAAAATACTACATGCAAATTTTCTTGAATTATTCTAATAAAAATTAATAAATTTGGATGCCACAGCATATGTAAACTGACTGATCAGATATGAAAAAAAAAAAAAAAAAAAAAAAAAATGTCCCCAAAGAAAAAAAAAGATTCATGAATTTCATTAGTAACTTAAGGGAAATTTTATAATAGAAAGATACTGTAAAGTTCTAAAGTGATAAAAAAGAAATGACAAAATTTGTGGGCAAATTTAAATTTAGTCCATTCTAGTAGATAAAAATTATATTCAGATTTTTTTTTCTTAATACGAGTAATAGTTTCTTGTTAAAAAATTAAATTCATCTTTCTAATTTCAACAAAAAAGCTAGAATCATGATGGAAGTTGATAAGTGAATTTTTTTTTTATTGATAAATTAATTTTTTTTTGTTTTGATTTTTGATATTAAATTTTATTTTAAAAATGTGCCATTTTAATTTTCTGGTGTCTCGTATTTGCAGTAATATTACTTGCAGGGATGTGAAGTTAAGTAATTTTGGAAAGTCAAAATAGAAAACGGTCAATGCGATTTGAGAACAGTTCATTTTCAGCAATCTTTTTTATTGTAGAATTCAACTTCCATCAAAATTTCATTACTTTCTTTAAAACGATAAATCAGCAAATGAGACATTTTGCTGAGAAGTGACCATCTACAAAATAAGCTATGGTTTTGTAATTCTAGCAAAATTGTTCAACAGCAGCTTTTGAGAAAGTGTTTATTAACTTGAGTGCCTTTTGCCTTTGATGACACAAAATAAAAAGTCATCCTACTCTAAATGCTTCACAATTCCAGAGATTTCAAAATATTCACATTACTAGATTTACAATGAATGAAAAATTACAAACAGTAATTAAATCTTTTTTCTCCCCCACCCTGTATAAAATTATTAAATAAAAGAAAACACTAAATACCAATTGAGAATTAATTAGATATTTCAAGCATAACAATGATATACGGTTTCAACTGGCTTTGCTATGAGCCAATGTGCTTATAAAATCTATAAAAAAAAAGAAAAGAAAAAAGTATACAGTAAATTGTTAGCAAAAATAAATGCCAGTAGAAGTTTAACTCGAAAATTAACTTTCACCTAAAATTATCAAAATTGTATGAATGAATGATAGTGTGATTGTAGAAGAAATCTTGCATAGGTTTTAACACAAATATAAAGACAGTTACAACAGTATAGTCTCATAATGCTATTCACATCAAAGAAAAAAACATATAATGAAAACCAGCTCCCAAATTTGTGCCATTTTTGTGCTAACCAGAGTCAGCAATGATGTAGAAAAGAATATGAAGAGACTGAGTGAAGCTGGAAAAGAATGATGAGAGGGAGGTTTTTTTTTTTCTTTAGTCTTTCTTTGAATGAAGAGAAAAATTGGCCAATTTTTTCTTTCGCTGCTTGTACATGTAGTTCATTTGAAAATATCCAGCTGAAATCAATAAAAAAATGAAACTAAAAATAAAGAAACACAACGAGAACATCAGCAGAAAAAAAGCAAAAAAACATTAATGAAATCACATATTTAATATTCATTTTCAGAAGTAAATTTTGGAATCCATTTTTCTAATTACCTATACAAAAAATATTTACATTCCTTGTAAAATTTAAGAAATATATAAAATTCAAAATACCCAGTATAAAAATAAAAAATGCACTAATATTATGAGTAGCAGCAAAAATTTATGGAGATCCATTGATAAATATTAATGGAATAAAATTAAAAAATCAAAAAGGAAATACTTTTTTTTGTTTTTTTTGATAAATGGTTTTCTTAATTTGTTAATGAAAATGTTAATAAAAATTAAATGGTTTAGTTTATGGCTTTAAAAAAGAAAAACTTATTTGTTTTAAATCTGGAATAATTTTAATCTATGGAATGTGAATTAAACATTTTGGGGTAAAATTGGAATCTTTAAACATTTCAATTGTATAATATATGCTTTGAATATACAAAAGATATTTTAATATTTCATTTATAATGTTTGAAAGAATTATTCAGATATTTAAGTGCTTTTGCTTTATGGTTAAGGTAGTTATGTATCTTCTATCAGCAACAGTGCTTAATGTTTGAATTGAAGAAATAGGATTTTGAATGTTGATTTGCAAAGAAAGCAAACCAGTTTTACTTGGAGGATGAGTGAAATGTAATCTTTCTACCTCCATTCTGTTTACTAGTGCTGTACTAAGTGATAGCAAGGGTATTATTCAAATTTTAATGTAACTCTAAATCCTATCTTCTATATGTCACATCCTTTCAGGACGTTGAGGATCATGGCTCTCCACAATTTCCTGTTCTTTGTAGCTTTTAGCAAAGTTTGTCTTTTTGCTATCTTTCCTAATCCCTGTTCTGCCAACCATTTACACACGTTTGTTAGGTAAGTTATGTATTGCTTTCTTCTGTCCCTCTTGCCTTCAATATACCCTGGAAGTGTCAAATTTCCCAGCCCTCTTTCCTCATTACATGCACTAGAAATTTCAACTTTTTCTTATGCTATGTATAAGTATTCTTTCTGTTTCAATTTTCTATAAAGTTTAATCAGTGCTCATGTATTCACTCCATGGTATTCTTATCATTCTTCTGTAGAACTACATTTCTGTTGCCCCAAGTCACTTCTCCTTCTATGATGAGATGGTCCAGCATTCACTGCCACATAGGAGGACTGCTAGGGCAAGTTGGATTAGCCATTTGGGTTTGTTACCAGATGTCAACCCACTTATTATACACCTACTATGTTTTTGAAGTGCTATAAACTAATAGAGGAGGTGCATGTAGTGTAATGGTTAACAAGTTCAAATTTCAGCTGAGTTTGTTATGTTCACTTTCACACAAATACCCTTGGGAAAGGCATGAATCCATCTCTTTCACCCAGAGCTGGATTTATGCCCTAAGAGACCTCTGGGTTATATATATATATATATATATATATATATATAAAATTAAAAAAAAAAAAAAGAAAAAAAAAAAGATATTTTTAGATGATGTTCCTTGGTGTAAAATATGAAACACTTCAACTAAAATTTTTAATGATTTTGGAATTCATTTAATTTATTCCATTAGCAACTTTATGATATTTTTTTTATCTGAACTTTACATCTCACAGAAATGTATCTAGAATGAAGGGCCTGTATTACACTGAAATTTTAGGATTCAAATTCAAGAAATCTCCTCTGTTCTTATATCTTTATTTTTTTATTTTTATCAGGAGAGCATGGCTAAAGGTAACATTAAAAACAAATGTTCTGTTTTCACTCAGAGAAGATGAAGCAATACTCACCTGGAACCATTGAGAATAAGTATATTTGTAAAAACCATGGGAAATAGAATGAAAAATTGTAGGCATTTGGCAAAACAAGAGTAAATCTTTTAGACATTTCATACATTGGAATTCCTGCTAAGATGATGGTTCCTGAAAGAATAGAATAATAAATATTAATATTTGTGAAGCATTAACAATACGCATTTACTGAAAATGACAACATATGACAAAATAAACCTTTGAGTATCATAAGTAGAAAAAATAAAATAAAATAAAAAAAAATGAAAATGTCCTTATCAAGTTTTAATGTCATCATTGTATATTACAAATGACAACACAGGGTCAAACATCTCATCTATTCCATTTTATTCAACCCCAGACTTTGTTAATAACCATCAGCCAGTGAATGTATGGCTTTGACGCCTTCTCTGAAGATGAACTACACATTTGTGAGAATGTATGCGATTTTCTTTCCTTTGAGATGAATGTTTATACATCTACCTGCAGGTAGATGTATAAACATATATAATGTATGCAACACAAAACTTCTAATTTGTTGACACCTCTTTATGTAATTAAGTGATTATGGCTTACAAATCTCATAAAGCCTATGCATATGCTCCTAACTTGAATAGGCCTATATCATTATATAATTGGTTTATATCAAAGAATAAAGATATTCTTCAATATTTTCTAACAAAATTAGAGACAAAATCTTTGAAAGGATACAGAAGAAATAAAAATGCTATAATGTAAGACTTTTTACACACACATATCTTTGCAATTAAGAAATAAGTACAGAAAAAACTATTTTATAACAGAAGTTGAAATATAATCTTTTACAGGAAGTAAAAGACATAAAATAAAAATTCTATAATGTAAGATTTTTTTTTTACATATATAGTTTTGCAAATACAAACTAAGTACAAAAAAACAAAATAACTTTAAAAAAGAGGAAATGAATTTTTTTTAAAGGAAATAGTAAATATACAGTAGAAGAAATAACAATAAAAATTCTAATGTAAGACTTTTTACATAAAGTGTAAATTCAACTGGAGTCTAGTTTTACCAACTCCAATGACTCCTTAATTGCTTCTGATCCCACAGCCCTGTCTCTCGGTCATATAGTTTTCCCCATACTTACACATCCTAGGTGGAGCTGGGTTGACCATGTGTTTGCATTATGGAGGAGGGACAGCTCCTGACACTGGGAAAAGTACAGACCTGCACCTGGTGGCTAGAAGGTCCTCTCTCAGGTTAATCCATTGATACAACTGACTTCTTGGAAGGGCACTAAGTGCAAAGTACATTTTAGTATCATCTGAGCTGAGTTACATATTACAAAGTTAACCCTTTCCAAATCGGCTTGACATGTTTACTGCCATACAACACATGCCTTATGGTATCTCATGCATTGTCTGAGATACATGTTCAACTATTCCATGGTTTTTATTTTAGGCAACAGAAATAGCACCTTTTTTTTTTTTTTTTTTTTTTTTTTAAACTTTAATTTATATAGCTTAAAGGTACCATGAATGACATACAAATAGCTCACTGGAGAAGAAAACAAAAGACAAACACAAAACAAAGCCAAAGACATTAACCAAATGGTCAAGTGAAATCAAAAGTAAAGAGAAGAGAGTAAAAATGAATTCACAATTGAAGATATTTTTTTTTCTTAAGTCAAACATTTCTAATGATAATCAAGTGCAATAAAACTGACCTTCCAAAAATATCCCAAGTGGATAAAGAATTATCCAAGCAGAATACCGGAGCCAAGTGATAAACCGAGCTTCTCTATCAATAGTTTGTAGCATGTAGTAAGGATATCTAAAATAAAAAGGAGAAATAATATATCACATATATGACATGAAGAAAAAAATAAAAGAAAAAAAAGAAAAAATGGAACCAATGAAAAGTGCATATAAACGAAAAATTGAGAAGTATAAGCTGATAACCCCTGACGAGTGGACAGAGTAATTCCCAGAGCATCCAACTACAAAATACTGGAGTTAGGATGCTGAAGGTCACATCAATCTGCTGACAAACCTTTAACTTGTATTAATTTTATATATATATATATATATATATATATATAAAAAAACAAGGCTAAATATAAAAAGCAAAAGTGGCTGCTACATTGTATGTGCTAATGACATTTTAAAATTATAATGAAGTGAATGTGAGACTTGAATCTTCATGAGTTTATTTTTTACTCAACTCCTGAATTTATCAGTTATTCTCAGCCACTAAGGGTTACACAGGAGTGCCCTTGTTGCTCCTCCCTTCAGTCTTAAATGTCAACCCTATATTCTCATCTTCCATGTGCGAGAGACTGTCCCCACATTCTTTGCAGCAGTTGTTAATATATTTATCCAATGGTTTTTCTCAAGTATTAAAGAGGACAGAGCATTGCCGACAAGTGTTCACTGCATGTAGTCAGGCATTATACCATAAAATGTTTTAGTAGAATCATTAACAAAATGGTCTGTATGACAAAATAGAACAAGTATTTCCAAAACTTAAGAACATATTAATAAAAACATTTTGATTAAAAAAAAAAAAAAAAAAAATGAAGACACTCAGTTAAATAATGTAGCAAAGATTTTGAAATACATATTTAAATTTTCTTTATTTTAAATTTCCAATAAATTTTTTCATTACAATCTTCAATCAAAAGTTTTTAATTTTTGACTTAAATTACAAATTTTGTATGTATATTTGCTAAGCTTAGTCTAGTACAAGGCCAGATATATGGGACCCACAATAAGAATCAAACTAACTACAGTCATAATAAATTGGTCCATAAGATTAGCTTGTTAACCATTGCTTCATGGCAAAATACCCATCAAAAATAAAACTACATCTGTCCCATTACAGTTGTTATATTTACATACATATTTCATGTACAAGATTTAACAATTATTAAGACAGAAACTTGAAATGTTAAATATATGAGGGGAGGTTAGAAAAATAAAACAAATGTTTATTCACAACAGAAATTTTCTAACCAGAAATGTGTAAAGAAATAGATTTAAATCACTTGTATTATTTACAGTTGAACTATTGTCCTCATCTTTGTGGTTATTGCTGCAATGATTTGGCCGAGATTAAATATCACTTGACATGAACAGTGGAACAAGAACAATCTACCTCTTTAGATTAAAGATTCTGTTCAAAATTCTCTTAAAGTTATCTCGATCCGTAAACACCTGAAAAAGGCCAGAGAGCACAACTCTTGGAATAACAACAAAGATGAAGATAACCGTCTGAATAGAAATAATGTAGATAATGATAATTCCTCATCCCAGAAATTACTTTTTGTTGTGTTTATGGGTGATTCCCATAAACAAAAGTAAAATGTATAAGATTTTCTGCCAATATGGAAAATATATTATAGCATACCCAGCTTAAAAGCAGATAATATTTGTTTTAAGAATCAGAAGCCCCCGACTCCGTTTATAAGAAACAAATAAGTAAATGGAAGGTGAATAATTTAAATTTTATTTTGAATCCAATGACTGATTTAGAACCAAGTAGTAATTTGTTATTGTTAATGAAAACAAATAATATTATGAAGGGAAACAGAAGATGGATTCTAAGAGACACAAATGAAATGTCAACATACCTCATTATTTCTGCAAAACTCCATACAAGAATCAACAGCCAAAGAGCAGGAACATGTTGTAAGTAGCTGTCAAACACAACAATTAGTAATATAAAATTTCTCCCCAAAACCTAAAAGAGACAGAAAGATGTGATCATAGCAGGTAACAATCATTTAAATAATTATATTTCAAACAAAGTCGAAAAGTAATTATTTTTACTTATTCACCAGTTGTGTATATATATATATATATATATATATATATATAATTATTTTTTTAAAATATGATTATAAGAGTTCTCATGTTTCAAAAACAAGAGCCGAAAACCTCAATATAATTATTAAAATTAAATTGAAGTAAAGTATCAAGCCCTTATTTACATTATTTTGACTATTGTCCTCATCTTTGTCACCATATTTATTACATTTTGGCTATTGTATGCTCCAGCCTTATTCAGGTGGTTGGAATGTCGAACTGAACCCTTTATTTCGCTCCAGTGAATGTTGGTTTACGGTATACGGATGTCTTGAACCCATGCTCTGTTAGAGATATTAGAACATCCAGGAATGGACAGTACCTCAATTTCAACTTGCACCATCCACACAGCGTAAAGAAAGGGATCATCTGCTGCTTACAACACCGAGCAAAAGTCATAAGGCAACCCAGAGGCATTAGATAAAGAATTGGGCAGTATAAGTAGTACCCTAGGGTACAAGAGGAGGACAACAACACTCGGAAAACAGTCTGCCTGCCTTATGTGAAGGGGTTATCAGAGAAAATACAAAGGATCTGCGGTCCATATAACATCAGGACAACCTTCAAAAGCTTGACGACACTTCGCAGATATCTGGTGCAGCTGCGGAAAGAAATATAAAGGGGAGAAAGGCCGCCCCCCCCTTAAGGTAAGGCTTCAAGAACACCAGAAAGCTGTAACACAAAGGAAAGTGGAAAAATCAGGTGTGGCTGACCACATATGGAGAGAGAAGGAAGATCACCACCCTCTTGGGATCAGGTTGAGATCATAGACAAGGAACACCATTGGAAAATTCGTAAACTTAAGGAATCAGCACATATGCTAGGCCACAAAAATCTCTTGAGCCGACCAAGCATAGAAATTAATACAATATGGGAACCAGTAATAAGGAGTGCCAGAGAAAAGCAATGATAACAAAATTTGCAATATGAGCTCTGGTAAAAACATGGAATGATAACAGCAAAAATTGCAATATGAGCACTGGTAAAAATGGTTGCTGAGACATTAGGTTTATAATACCCAGAAATTCATACACAGATGTCCTTAAGGACACATGACTAAAGGATAAAGGCGTTGGTTAGATCCAATGACAGGACCCAAAGAATGTGAGTTCAATACCCGGTCAAGGCAGTGGATAGGGAAAGATAACGGATAACTGACATCCGTTAAACATGGAACAGTGAGCGAAATAAAGGATTCAGTTCAACATTCCAACCACCAGCCGAAACGTTGTAATAAATATAACAACGAGGACAATAATGTACATAATACCTCATCTCAGAAATATAGACAGGTATCAAGCCCTGTTTCATCCTCAAGCAAAAATTTAGGAATAACCAATATATATTCATTTGCTTTTAGGCATGTCTGATTGAATAAATTACAAATATAATGTCTGCTTACTTTTATCATAATCCTGTCATATTCACAAATATTTTTTCGTATATTACAATTAAATAAGGATAGAAATGCACTGTAACAGTGAAAATCACTTTTATTTTCCCAGATATTTATTTGTGAATATGAAAGGATTATGATAAAATCAAGCAGACATAATGTATGTAATTTATTCAATCAGACATTATATATATATATATATATATATATATATAGATAGATAGATATTTTTTTTATGTTTATATGTTCTTTTTATAGATACAAATATTTAAGTAAATGTTCTGTTTATAAAAAAACAGTATTAACAACATTTACAGGCCTGAATGTCTGAGAAATTTTCATAGAAAATATATGTCCTCCAACAGGAATTGAATCTGTATCCTATACAGAACTGTCATATAGCCTGACGTGCCTTAACTGATAGGGCCACAAAGGAGCATTCAGTTAGCAAGGTCGATTTTAATGTTTTTAAACACAATTCTTGACACAATTCTGTTGGAGGAAGCATATTTTCTATGAAAATTTCTCGGACATTCAGGCCAGTAAATGTTGTTAATACTGTTTATTATAAACAAAGCATTTACTTAAATATTTGTATTTATAAAAAGAACGTATAAACATAAAAAAAGTCTTAAATAATTGTTGGACTTTGTCCATTTCATAATGTATATATATATATATATATATATATATATATATATAAAAATAAATCACCGTTACTAGGGAAAAACCCCAAAACTAAAACACTAGAAAAAGATTCAAAGCACACCTAGAATGTGCTTGATAACTTGGGAAACAGTAGGACCTCAGCCAAGAAGCATAACAGTTTCTGGTTCCTTCCCCTAAATTCTTCTCCCAGGAGCCCCATGCATCTTAGTGGCATTATCACCTTCCTTGTGATAAAACGATTAAAAAAAAAAAAAAAAAAAAAAAAAAAAAAAGGTGTCTTTAACCAAAATGTACTATTTACTAACAGATTATTTGCTTTGAGGATAAAGATACTATATACAGTACTAATATGCTATTAATATATTTAATTTGAACATGTCGTGCAGAACTCATAAAGCTGATATGCTTGGACAATTCTGAGTACAGATTAGGAATCAGCAAACTTTATTTAGTTCCCTACAATCCTGTCTGCCTGGCAAGCAAATAATATTCTTTGCTTGATTTTATTAAAAATTAAATGTTGCAGAAAGGGTTTTTTTTTTTGTTTTTTTTTTTATACAGACTGGAGTAATTCCAATAATTTTATAACAATATTGACAGTCTTGACTATATATACCCATATTTGATCAAGTACACACCAGTGACAAAAATATGGGTCCTGTATGACACTCCCAAATGTGCCAGACAGGAAAGCAAGATGCCAAAAGAGAGTTCCCACAAGTGAGAAATGCAAGAAAAGAAACCATTAGAATAAAACTTAGTTAAATCTTAGCTATTTCAATAGTAAGATGATGAGACCTAATTCCCAATCTAGCACTACACTTCAATTTATGTGGTCGATGTACCGATGAGGAAAGAATTGCTATGAAAATATTTATAGAAAATACGCAGGAAAGCTATGTCATGGTGGTGGGAAGGTTTTTCATAAGAATTGTGTACATGGCCACATTGCTGACATCACAGCAATCCATCTGTGTGACACTAATATATTGGAATGCACTCCCAACATAGCGTTGAATTTTTTTTTTTTAATTATTAAAAAATAACCGACATTTTTAGAGACCAGACTACTTACTTATATGTAAACATATCAAACAAGAAAGGAGGAGATGGTAAAAATTTAAGAGTTTTTTTTATCTCCACACAGAAGAGAGTAATAAAATTTAGTCATGTGTAACTCTTCATGCCTTTTTGGTGTTTCAGTAAAATTTAAAAAACAAAAAACAAAAAAAAAAAAAACAGAAAAATTAATAAATAGGCATTCATTAATTAATTAATGGTAAAAAATGAATTAAAAGCCATTTCCTTACCTGGAATAAAGTTGGAATAATTTTTGTTTTAACAATTCCAAATATTGAATGAAAAATTTCAAGGAATGCAATCAACTGTAAACACAGCAACTGACTGCCAACACTTTCAAAAACATTCAACTTTGAATCTGGCAAACCAAAAAAATATGATAAGTCAGAGATACATTAAACCAAAAAGAATACATTTAAGAGAAAAGAATCAAATCAGTAAGTATTAAATAAAAGCTTAAAGTTGCCAAGCAATAAGAAAGTATTTTTATTTATTTTTTTTAATTATTACCAATCCCACCCTAACCCCAAATGGTTATCTGGCATTAGGGCGGGGGGTCGATTTTGGAATCCTAGTATTGCACTCAATTTGAAAGTCGAGGTTTTGACATAAGTAATGACACAAAATATTTTTTCTAAATCATTACTGTTTTTTGAGGAAACAAGTTTAAAGATTAAGTTTAGGTTTAAAATTGTAGCATTTGGATTTCATTCCTGTGATAGTGAAAGCTTTATATCACAGCTTTACAAAAATTTATAACTTACTGAAGCTTTACAAACTGTATATGGAGAAAATGCAAGGCACACACATTATTATTAAATCATTTACTTCAAAGGGAAATTATACTGAACAATTTAGTTATATTATGAAGAACTGATGACAGTTTGATTTATTGGTTCTTGTTCAATATTTACATGTGCAATTATCGACTGAAATAGATCTCTGAATTGTTGCATTCATTTTTAGTCAATTGATTTTTCTCAGGAAATTTTAGTAAAGCTTTTTTTAATTTGTTTTACCCATAAAAAATATGCGAGTGGTGCAGTGGTTAGTCGCTTAGAATGAGAAATTTATTGAGCTGATGTTCAAATTCCAGTCTAGTTTGTTGCATTCATTTTCACACAAAATACTCTTGGGGTAGTAGGATTATCTCTTCTTGCCCCTTCCCATTTACAAGATATCACTTTGCTAAGCATTGTCATAAAATGACTTACCTTCTCCATACTTATAGTAATGGTACTGCATACTACCACATATATAAGAGAAACCAACAAACTGGAATAAGTTGTAGAGAAATAAATAATTGAAGTTGATCAGGGACTTAGCTAAAAAGGAAAAGAAAAGAAAGAAAATTTTGTTATAATTTATATATACAAGTACATCAATACATTTGTAGGCTAATGAAAAAAAATGAATAAAGATTTTTAATATCTTCTTTGTCAATACCTGTAAAACTTATTTTCAGTAATCACATAGATAAAATATTCGCCACAGAGTATGTAGCAAGGTTCAAATTATGTGTATGTAAATATAAATATATGCCTGAAGAAATTGGTCATTCAGGTTATATTACAGAAGCTTAATTTATTTATTTTTTGTTTTTTAATGACACAAAGCAAATATTTGAAACTTTTTCAAATAGATTACAATCTTTATAGCAAGAAGACTTATTTAGAAACCATTTTGCATGGATAAGTCATTAATGACATTTATGAAAGAAGTCATCATTATATGAACCTCTGTTCAATGTTTAGAATTTTAATCATTTTCTTTGGTGAGATGACACTATGATATTCCACTTGCAATTAGTACCAGCAAAAATTAGGGCATAGGAACTGGAAAGAATAAAATGGAATAAGTACAAGAAAAGAAAAATTTGACATTTGGTCAACAAATGAATATAACTAAACCATTTACTAGTAAGCATTTTGTGTATTGACTTAAATGTCAAGAACAACAGTTTGAAGAATGAAATGATAATGAAGAAAGTTCTTGAAGAAAAGTTAAAACAGTGCTTACGAACAGAGAGAAATAAAAAAAGTTAATTTTTGATAATTTGTCTTATTTTTAGTCAATTTGGTTGATTATTAGGAAATGTTTGATTGCTTTGAAATGGACAGCAGTTTAATTAGAATTATTGAAACTGAAGTCAGGATCGGATCATGCTATATAAATCATAATAATAGAAAATGCACTTGGTTTGAAAGAAGTTGTAGCAAAAAGACTGTTCAATTTAAAAAAAAAAAAAAAAAAGGTGGAGTAAAATATAACATTCATACATTGACTAGAAATGTCTAAAATTTTGTCATTAACACTTACTTTCAACATTCTTCATACTGCTATTACGAAATTTTTTTATCAAATCATTTTCAGAAGCCTGTGAATAATAAAAAACATTTTGGAGAAATTAAAAGATAAACAAGAATTATAAAGAAATTTACCAAATTTTATTTTTTCTCAAAAGTAGGTGAACTTACAATTTCAAATCAAGTTTTATTTTGCTTCATTTTTTATTATAACTAAAACATCCTAATGGGCATCAATTTACTTGTCTGTCTCAAATTACACATGCAAAATAAATATGTAAAATTGAAATTTTATTAACAATTCTACCTTGATGATTTTGTCTAATAAAAAGCATTCATTTGTTTGTATATTTGTACATGTCTAACTTAAACTTCTTGACTACAATATTTAAACCCTTAAAACTATAAATATTACAATTTTATCATGTTCCAAGGAAAGTTTTCATAAGCAATTTATTTCTGTACACTTTATATAAAGATATTTACAAAGTAAATCAGATGTAATAGCATTAAAAAATGATAATATTTTAGTGTTTCCAATTCAAAACTGATTCTATTATATTTTTTAAAATAATCAGAGGTAAAAAAAAATAAATTGACAAGGAAAAGATTAAAATATATGAGCAATGATTTTATTTAATAAAGAGCATATTTGTATTTAAATTACAAACATTTTTCCATGAAAGACAATAGGCACTATTTTTTTTAAAAAAACAAATTTTCTTTTTTTTTTTTTTTATTCAGCTGAACAATATTAAGAGTTCAAAACAAAAAAAAAAAAAAAAAGTTTTAACTTAAATATATCTTCACTTATAAAAAGAGTGCAGAAATAAATTGTTTATCAAAACTTTGGAACATGCAGAATCAAATGTTTTAAGTATTGTAGTTAAGAAGTTTAAGCTGGAAATACATGCACACAAAAAATTTATAAGTAGTTTTCCATATATATTTATTTAAATAGTAATAAGACATTGAATGAAATTGTAATAAAATTGTTTTAATGTTGTGTCTAAATATAAATATTAATACTGTGCAAGATGAATTTGTAATTTTACTGGTGTTATTTTGATATGATACACAGGCAATGCCAGGTAGCCTTGCTAGTACAAAATAAAACAATAAACAAAATTGCACTAAAAAACAAAAAACAAACAAACATACTTAAATGAAAAAGAGATTCACTTTTACCTCAAAATCAAGTTTTTCATCAGAATCTTCTTCTATGGCAAATTTGTCAAAATCTATTTTTAGCCAAGGATGTTTTATTGGTTTGTATGTTAATCGTGGCCAAACTTCACCAACTACATCCTTCTGGAGGCGAAACTCAACAGCTCGCTCATTGATCCGATACTGACTTGCCTGAATGGAGAAATGTTTGATTTGATAGAAAAATTAAATGTTTTTATAAATATAAAAGAAACAATAACCTGAAAACAATGAGACTAAATTCTCACATTATTCTTTGGCAACAATAAACATATTTTAAATTATGTCATTACTTGATTAAAAAAATTGACAAGCTTCACTGTAGGAGTAATATTCAAATAAAAAAATGTTTGTCAAGGTAACTGAAAAAAAAAAAAAAAATCTTAGAAATAGAAATGAAATACAAAAAAAGGTTACCTTAGCATCAATTGGCAGGTAGAATTCTATCTCAAAGTTGTACAAATTTTCTCCTCGTACACCATGTCCCACTGCCATAAAACTTAATGAATCGTCATCCAGTTTAACTGTTTCATTCTTTGAAAACAAGAGGAGGAAAAAACAAAAAAAATCTTATAATAAACTTATGGAAATAGAAAAGTGATATTGGGTTCATTCTATATCAAAGCATCCAATAGTTTTGGAAAATGGCACCGTAAAATTTACTTTTCTTTCATATTCATACAATTAGTAACATTGATCATGAAAAAACATTAAACATGAAAAACTCCAAAATTTCAGGTCATAAGCCATTGTACTTTCCAAGATGTTGACATTTTTCCATTTTCTATTGAAATTCCACCATTATGGATTTTAACTTTTCTTTGATTCAAAGTTCTATGCTAACAGTTTCTTCTATTATACTTTTTGTTTGTTGAACTTTCTTCTGGCTTCTTACTTACCAACCAACTTTGATCTTCAAAAATTAAATGCAATATCAATTGATATCTTCTGTCTTCTGAATTCTTATTCTTTTATTGTCCTCTCTCCTTAATAGCATTTTTTTTCTCATATTCTCTAAGACTCAATAATCCCTTGTGTTTTAGTAGTGTTATTGCCTTGCTTGGAGTGAAATGATTAAAAAAAAAAGAAATAAACTTCTATTCTGATGCACTATTCTCTCTAAAACTGTTTATACCTGACCAATTTTGAAAGTGTAGAATCAAAGCTCATAGGTGAATGGAATATTGTTCAAATTTTGATTTACTTTCCAAACCAGCAAAATGACCCTCTGATAAAGGGTAACCTAAAAAACAGTGTGTGCAGTTCAATAATAATGTGCAGCTTTGTTGCATGCATAAAGTGATGCCTTAAGTTGCCTAAAGTAAAAAATAAAAAAATGTTTCTTGCGTTATTTATCTTTAGCATAAAATCCCATATTCAAAGTGATATAGTAATATATGTCACCATCCATAAGTACTTGTCTTATTAAACCAATATTTTTCCTATCCAACATATTGTACACAGTTCAGTTATATGCCATGTATGATACACGCTTAGGCAATCATGTATCTTTCAATATATGACTGACAAGGCAGATTTTTTCCCCGCAGTAGGTTGCCATTTCTTTCTGCAGTAGACCAGTTGCCATCCAACGCAACCCAGTCTGTCTTGCTATTTACCCATAGCTAAGGTGGTGGTGGTGGTGGTGGGGGGTTAGAAGAACAAGAGAATTGATAACTTTCCCAAGGGTATTAGCATGTAAGTGAATGTAATGGATTTGTCTGGAATTCGAACTCGGCTCTCCGATTTCCACACAAAGTTTAATTCATTCAAAACCATAAGGCTAGCCATAATGAATTTTTTTTTTTTTAGTGTTGCCCAACCAAAAAGTTTTTCTAAGAGTTATAACATTTTTATTTTTTAATGCAAGCAGCAAATAATATTTTAAGAAAAACATGAACACGGGGACAGACTGATATCATTAGTTAGGGTAAAGTGAAGCTTTCAATGTTACTCCAGGGCATAAATTCTGCTGCAATTATACAGTTCACTTGAAAAAACTGTTTGAACCAGCTGAAGAAACATCTGATGCCTAGGATGACTTTATTCATATAGAAAACATAGATGTTACAGAAAAACTCCTCATTTTTCCACAAGATCAGCTGAATTTAATTTTGAAATACTTCGATCAATCAGTATCATCTTTCAGTTGCTAAATGTAAACTGGAGAAAAAAACTTGAAACTGTAGATGAAGCTTATAGAGGAGATGTTGATAGATTTACATGATAGATTACAATCATCTCATGAAATGAAACCCAAACATTGATATCAATAAAAAGAAAGCCGAGAATTGGATCATTTACTGTTCCTGATGATGAAAAAATAAATAAAAGCATTCAACATTTAATGAAACATTAAAAATCCTTATAATGACTCCAGCTTTATCTGCTCAGTTTAATGATGTTTTGGGATTTAGTGTTAAAGATTAGATTATAAAAACTGAGAAGAGGCTAATGTCCAGACCTTTGGAAAAATTGGGAAATAAATTGTCTGAGGAGACCTGTTTGCTGGTGGTTACTCTCAAAATATGCCAGAGAAAAAGGATTATGTCAATATGAAGAAAGAGATGATCATCAAAAACGTTTGCTTCTTTGCAGTTTGTGTGAGCTCTATTCTGAATTCAAAAAGTTAACCTGCTAAAGTTGGGTTCTGTAAATTTTGCAGCTTGCATCCAAAATGGTGTGTGTGCTGGATCTTCTGATACCCACTCTGCCTGTGTGTGCATTCATCACCAAAATGCAATTTCATAGGATATTACATGCAACAATCAGAGGGCAAAAATGACCTATAATTTGTAAAGTAAAGAGTGAATGGTCTTCAGATGAACTAAAAGAAAATTTGGTTTCTTTCCTTGATCAAGACTCAAAACAAGAGCTTTCAAATTTGGATGATGCCAAGTCTATTGAAGTAAAGCCGTGGATCAGGATTGATAACACAAAAAAGTGTTTCATATGACGAGTACAAAGAGTTTTTGCTACTATTACTGATGAATGGACTTCATACTCATACACTGCTAAATGCTCATCAAATTACCTCAAAAAATGAAAAAAAAAAAAAAAAAAAAAAAAAAGCCTTCCCGATGACAAATATATCATTCTTGGAGATTTTGCAGAGAACTCAATTTGTGATCAAAGATGAAATCCACGGACATCATTGGTCTGAAGAAAGATGTATTTTGCATCCCATTCATTTTAATTTATTTCAAACAAGACCCAAAATTGCTACACCAATGTTAGTTTCCTTCCAGATGACTTAAACCATGATACGTGATTTGAGTATCATGAAGTTCAGTGGCATCTTCAAAACATTATGGTGCCCAGTATAAGAATTTTCTGAACCACTGCTTTCATCTGAAAAATTGAATGTGGGTGTTTTTTTTTGTTTTGTTTTTTAAGAGTTGAAACGTTTAAGATGTTAAGCTAAAGGATTTTTTTGTTAATATATTAGCTACGAACGGTGAGAATTACGCATTCAATGAGCAATTCTATGGCTCCACTGAAAATGACGTAAGTTTCTCAATTTAGTTGGGTAAACTAAACAAGGAGATTTAAGTACTAAAGCTGATGTAAAAATGTTCAAATTGTTTATACTTTTCCATATTTATTAACAAACACCAAAACATTTTAATTTTGAAGTGCTGATATATAAAAAAAAAATACTTATTTGGAGCCAACGTTATGGGACGGTGAAGACTTTAAATATTCCCCTAATAAGTAAATGGACCAGAAACACGACTGGTTATAATAGGGTAGACACAGGGTTTTTTTTTTTTACTTGGTGATGCAGTTTGACTTTAAATTCAAATTAGAAGAAAAGCTGTTATGTCACATTTAAGAATAATATTTAAAAATAAAGATATGAATGTCTGATAATAAAGTAAAAAATGCGTGTTTTTAAGTAACCTGCACTAATGTTGCTTTTTTTAAAAAAAAAGTACATACATTTTTTTATTTTGTTTATTGTTCGTCTTCTCATAGCCCTTTTTTCATATATGTTTGTCTTAAATTATTAATTGTAGTTTTTAAACATACAAAGATAAAAAGTAAATAAAAATTGATAATTGTCAATTGAAATCCCACGACAGAATGTTCTAGAAAGATTTGTGTTAAATTACCCCCAAAACACAATTTCAATTTAAGTACAAAGTTTCAATTGAATAAAAATAAAAAATAAATGTAAAAAAATTATTGAAAGAATAAATACATTAATTAAAATTTGTATTGGTTCTTTCTTTTAAGAAAGCTTATTTACTGCAATAAATTTCCTTTTTAACATCGGAACAGTTTTTTGACGTTAAAAAAGGTATGTAGGTGACCTGGATAATAGTACAAAAAGCATGAACAAAATAAATAACTGTTTTTCTTAGGAATGTGTACTGAACCAAAAGGAAGAAACAGATATAATTGGCGCAAACCATCGAAAGTGCAAATAGTTTTTTTTTTGTAATTGCTATAACAGAACACTTTTATTTAAAAAATCAAGAAGTGCTTGAAACGTTTCAACTCTTTAAAAAAAAAGAAAAAGGTTTTCTTAAATAAGAGTCCCTACTTCAGTTCTATTTATTTTCGTTCAATGAGGACAAGGCGAGTTATCAGCTGATCAAAAACTTTAATTTTAAGATCCAAATTTATACTCAGCTGTTCGAGGTCCTGAAAACAAGTTGTTTCATTTTTTAGTTAGTTTCATTAAAATTGGAGTAAAGTACAAATAAAAGTTTTTAATGTTTTGAATGCAGGATAAATAAATAAAAACTAAAAAAAAAAAAACATATTTCATAAGATTTTATTTTACACATCTGATGTTTGACTAAACTAAAGCTTTAATTAATTAATTAGAGAAAGAGATGAATTTGTTTTTTCGAGAGAGATCAAAACTAGTTTCAAAAGTAAAAATACCATCAGAAATGAATTGTTTTATTTGCGATAATCAAATAAAAAAACTTATAGAAAGTTGGCAAAACAAAAACAAACTTACAGATCTAAGAAGAGCATTTTCTTCTTTAGGATAGGAATAAAATAAGTTTTGACGAGCATCACTTTTTAAAACATAAATAAATAAATTAAAAAAAAATGCATGTGTCTCTCTCTCTAGTCTACTTATTGTGGGTGGAATGTAGACCCTCAACATTTTGTTGATATCTTTTCCTAAATTACTTGTATAAAAATATTTTAATTTAATTGTTTTCTTTTTCTAGACATGTGGGAACATTGTTATTGTTGAAGTGAGGAATAAAAATGTTTTCTTTCTGAAGCTATTTTTATTTGGAAAATAATAATTTTCCAAATAAAAATAGCTTCAGAAATTTGCATACGAAATTTCATGATTCTAAATTTGTTAAAACAAAAAAAAAAAAACACACAAATTTCTCACGCTTATAAATAATTTATGTTCCTAATTTCCCCCCTCGTTTTTAAAAAACGGGAAATAAATTTGGGGCATAAATTAAGAAAGTGTCATAACTGCAGATATTTTTTTTAAATCCTGATTTCTAAACCGAGAGAACAAATCCAAAACAATATAAAATAGATTTCTTCATTTACAAAAACTGATAAATAAATAAATCGTTTAACATCTGAATTGCAAACAAATCAAATACTTTTTTTTGTCTAAAAAAAGTAACGATCATATTAAAAATCCTGCAGATTTTATTAAACGAAAACAAATTTAAGACCAAACCCCAAAATGAATGAGATATTTCAAAAATAAGGAAAGAATAAGAGAAGAAACAACAATACATGCCGGGTTATGAAGTTTACCAGGATGATCTGTTAATTGGGCTGAAACATTTGTTAAAAGTTTTTGTTTTGAATTTCAGGTGTTGCTAAAGAAAAAACACACAAGTGCTTTCTTTTTTACTTACAGAAACGTTTCGTAAATCCACTTTTAATGATACGTGATCATTTTTTTGTCCCCAATAGACAAATGGCCGTAACGTCTCCGCCATGATTGATGAATTCAATGGCATATGGGTGAGGGGGAAAAAAAGTAAGGTAAAGTCGAGCTGATAGATTGTTCACCATGGAAACCGGTGAAGGAGCAAATAATACACCTATAAATTAATGGTGTATGTAAACTGTAGGTAACCGAATATTTTCCGAAAAAATATATATTCGCTTCAAAAGACCATACTAAAATATTTTTTTTATAAAATCTATATTTACTTCATATTGATATTTATTTCATATTGATTTTTTCTTCTATAATATTAAAAAAGAACATTTTACCAATAGCAAACAAAAATAAAAACAAAATTGCAACATTTTCCGTTGAATCTGAGAGAATTTCATCTTCTTGTGTACTAATTTGTCTGTTGTCAGTTCATTGCCGTCATTACTTTTCCTTCCAACGTCCAGGACTGGTGATACCTAAGGCAAACTAGACAGCCGTAAGCCGTAATGATAATGTTATAACGTGCATTTGGTTGCGAAAGGAAAAGAATAACAAGGATTATATTTTCGAACAGCCTGTATTTGTTTAATGTACATGATATATTTACACGATATGTTTACAGTTGTTGAAAAATTGGAGAAATGTCGATTTCGGAAAGGCGATTAGTTGTAATGCTAGCGCCGGGAGTTGATCATAATTTCAAACATTCTCAACTACGTACGCGTCATAATCGGTTTAGTGTGTGTCCTAAGCAGATACAAATTTGCGCCAAATTTCTTGGAGCCTCCCACGTGACTTGAAATATTAATAAATACGAAACATCATTTGATTTCGTCAGTGAGTCTTATGAATTTTTTCAGCTCGACACACGACTCCATGTTACATATTTTACCAGGCTTAAAGTTAAATTTACTTAACATTTCCACAGCTTGCGAAGTACACCAACTCAACTACATAAACCGACAGAAAACGTCAAGTAACACATTCAATCAAAGAGAGACAACTTCATACACAAAACAGTAAGTCGAGTACAATATTACAAAATTCAACACCAAAAACAAACTTTAATTTTTCTGGAAACACAAAAATACCTTATCAAACTTACCTATTTTTATACACACAATTTCTCAACTCTTAATCTTTCATATAATATCTTTATAAACTCTTCAATCCACACAGGAAAAAAACTTTGTAGCAATTAAACAACTCTCAACATACAATTTTGTACCTTTCTATTGGTTATATAAAAACATTTATTGTTGAACCATTTATTGTTTGCTTGCTTTTTGTTACGTTTGTGAAATTAAAAAAAGTAGCAGGTTAATCGCATTTCCATTAACCCTTTACAGATTGGTAAACCGACTTGTTGGTGGCATTAACCCCACTACAATGACAATGACGAAGAAACACACGGGTAATTTGAACAAAACAAGATAAGGAATCTATTTACGAATTTACACGTTTGAAGTTGTGTCAGTAGCTCGTTTCAGGAAAACAAATTAGAAATGTTTAAAGTCCGTAGTTTTAACGAATTTAAAAATGTTCATACAACAGATTAAATGATCTACCACAAAATAATATTCAAAAATGTTTAAAACAAAAGTAAGAGAGTTCGTTATTCACAAAAGGGATATATGCTTTGCATACGTTCGAAAGTAGACGAAGAGAAATAGTTTGAAATACTTAACTTTCTTGGATTGTTGAGAGAAAATTCTTTGAAAGGTGGAGTGCTTGGTTAGAAGCCAATAATATAATTAGTGAATAGTTTTACACTGGCAGGAACTTAAACGCTCGTCGCGAGGAACTGAAACGAAATCTTTCAGATGATTTCAGACACTCTTCTCTTAATTTAAATTTCCCCTCATTTTATATCAAAAGGAATTTCGCATAGGCTCTCCACTTTCTTTATCTTGGCTCAATGGTTAATTTCTGTGAAGTCAAGGTTTTCATTGGTCCAAAAGCAATATCACATAAGCTCGCAAATTTATTTCCTCCTTCTTTTCAGCGCACCGGTCAATTTCTGTGAAGTCAAGGTTTTCATTGGTCGAAAGAAAATTTCACATAGGCTTGCTAATTTCTTTCTGTCTTTTTCCTCAGCTCACCGGAATTTGAAGGGAGTGGGTAAAGAGAGCTATTTTTATTTCTCACTCACTATAAACGAAACAACGTTTTAAACAAATAGACTATTGTCCCGTAGACGGAACAATAGCCTTATGGATTAAAGTTCGTGAATTTGGTAACATAGTAATTATGGTTTGTGAATTTAGAGTCATAGGAATTGTGAATTCAATCCCTGGACCGGGCAGTGTGTACCTGAACTCAGTGGAAAGCAATTACTAAAAATAAAAACCCGACGTGGTATCCCTAGACATGGGCAGTGGAATGAGAACAGTCTAACCCCATACATTAAATAAAGGGTTCAATTCGGAATTCCATGCAGGTTACCTGGATCGATATAAACCTGATGAAGCTCGAAGGTAAAAACAGCCGAAATGTTGCGATAACAACAAAGCTAAGGATAATAGTCCGAATGTAAATAATGTTTGTTTTATATATTTGTAATATTTATTTATTTGTTTTATAAAGGATAATCTTTCAATAATTTTGATTGTGTTGTACTTTTAGGTCATCTGTTTAATATTTTGAATATACAGAGGGCTGCAAAAGTAGGTATACTGTCAGTATTATACCATTATTGATATGTTATTATTGATATTTTTGTTGTATAATCAATACAACACATTTCGTGCGCACGTTTTGTTTTTCATTACTTTATATACCTACTGTTGCGTCACCTACATATTACTGATCTTATGACACGTTGTTTTCATGTATTATTTGTATCATATCTTTTTGACGTCATCGAAATACTTTAACTGAAATGTTCCACGCTGTTTTGTTTCCAGGCTTAAATGCCCAATGCTTATACATTCTTACTTATCTGCCCGTTTTTTGGTTTCAAGTTCATTTGTCGACCAATCAATAAAATAATATTAGAGAGATCTTCAGACAAATACTCATTGACATTTATTTAGCTAATTTTGCTACAAGGTCACATTCATGGATCACTTAGGGTCAAACCGTGTTAAAATGGCTTGCATACTCATTGTTTCAGTACTATAAGTACTTACAGGCTAAAGTAGGTACCTCCACATATTCGCGATACGTAAGGTTTATAATTTTTAAAAATATAAAATCTTTCTTGGAGCTTTTGTTTTAATTTGAATTTCAAGCTAATAGATTAAATGTAATATTTCCAATACTTTGCTCTATTACAAAACTAATTTAAATTGACTGGAAGGAATGTTTTTGCTAAAATATTCCGATTTTAGCGCCATTTTGAGCGCCCGTTTAGTCTTTTAGCACCCCGCTACCAACTCTTTTATCAACATCAATTTTTGTACAAAAAGTGGATCACAGAGCTTATTCAGCTTAGTAAATATTTTCAGAAAATCTCAACTTCTAATTGGTCACTTAATATTTAATAACATCGACCTAGTTCTTAACCTGACCAAAAACATAATTCCGCCAAAATCTATCAAGCTTCTGTGAGCCTATCACGTGACCAAAGCTAGCAATAAAATATGAAACGTCTTTCATGTTCGACAGTGCGCCGATCGGAATCCTTTGAACTCGTCACACGGTTCCAGGCTTTACGTTAAAGTTCCTTAACATAATTTCAGCCTGAGAGAACACTCATTCACACAGCAATATTTTATGACGAACAATCAAATTTTCCACATTCAACTTAATACACGAATCTTTTTCATACTCTTTCAAGCTCAACGTTAATTATTGCAATTAACATAAACACAGCTTGTTAAGAACCACTTATTTCAACTACAGAATATTTTCTTCGAACCAGTGAAAACAAATCAAAGAGCAACAATTCCGTAAACCTTAAAGTAAGTCGTAAACAATATTTCTCTCTTTCAAATACAAACTTGAACTGTTTATTTTTTCTTAAATTACTATAATACCCAAACACACTTTCTCATTATTGTACAGACCATTCAACAAATTATAATCTATCAAGCCAGAACTTTGATAACCTTTCATCTAAACATAAAAGGACGTTTGAACTTTTTAAAACTACCTCTTTACTCCAGTTGTTTGTACCTCTTTGTTATATAAATATTTTATTCATTGTTGTTTCTCATGCTGTCCTTATTCTATGTTTGTTGAATACTAAAATTTAATGTGAGAGGAAATTGTTAATTTCATCACGCAGCCTAATTTACTCAACAATTTTTGATCAATATAAATTAATCCTTTAACACAACCTCCACAGTCTCTTTATTAAAAAAGAAACTTCCAAAAATAAAATATACTTTACTGAAATTTTATGTGAGGAATATTAGCTGATTTAAAGTTTAACCTAATTTGAAATAAATATTATTTACTTTAAGTTTAAAATATCGCAAAAATGCATTTTTAACATGGCAGTAGATGTCTATTTAAGTTGTTGACAGCTTAATGACAGATAAATGTTTATCTAATATTTTTCTATGGGGGCTTTATCTGTAAATAAATAATTGAAGAATATAACGTGAATAAATGCTGAAGGTTTCATTAAAATTTGACTATTATTTGATTTTTGCAAGAACTTTCAAATCAGTGTATTTTTTACTTAAAAAAAGACGATAATTTTTTCTTAATATTTTTTTATTTACTAATCTTTGGTTCCTCCGCTGACGCAAGATTTTTAATCAAAATTTCAAACGTTCTAGAAAGGATTAAAACATTTAATTAAATAATTAAAAAAAAAATACTTCGGTCTTCCCTCTTAATAATGGCATAAAGATTTTGACGATAAAACTTGGTTTTTATCAAGATTGGTGCATTTTTTTTCATCATGATATGCTCTTTTTTCAGCGAATTAGTTGAGTTACCTAGGCTTAATTATACGTTAATGTTTTTTCTCTAATGTTTATAGGTGTTTATAAAATATTAACCTGGATTCCTGTTAAGAGTAGTTTTATTTTGTGGAAGATTGAAGGAGTGAAAAGTTGTCATTATAAAAGTATTCAATTCGTCCGCATTGAAAAGTTAAAGGAAAAGAAGAAAGCAGAGAAA